CAGAGCTTCAAGACAAGTACCCAACTCCTCCTTCCAACTTACCAATTGCTCACAGTTAAGAACTGTTGCATTTTCTATTTTTTTCCTTCCTAGTTTACCTGGTTTCGAATCTTACCCTCAATATTTACTGCCTCGGTGGCCTTGGGTTAATTATTTAACTTCTCTATGCCTCAACTTTCTGTATTTATAAAGTGTGGTTAATAATACCAACCTTTTAGGGTTGTATGAGACAACATGTGTGAAGTGCTAAAATAGTGCCTGGTGCATTGTGAGAATCCCAGAATGATTAGCTATTAATAGTCATGTCTCTTTTATTTGTTTTTTTTTTTTTTTTTAAGTAGGCTCCATGCCCAGCATGGAGCCCAGCCTGGGGCTCACAAACTCACAACCCTGAGATCAAGACCTAAGCCGAGAACAAGAGTCAGACACTTAACTGAATGAGCCACCCTGAAGCCCCTGTTCGGAATATTTTTTATGATAAAAGCCATCTGGCATCTTTTTAAATGAAGTTATAAATAAGTATGCCTAACTAGGCGCCTCAATATAAATAGGATACTCCCACCCAGAAATAGAACCACCCCACTCTACTCTGGAGTTCCACCTGGAGAATTTCTTCTGTGCTAGCAGCCACTCCCCATGAGGGAAACAGAGAGGGAGAGGAAGGGAGATAATCTTAAGCAGGCTCCATACCCAGCGCAGAGCCTGATGTGGGGCTCAATCTCACAACCCTGAGATCATGACCTAAGTGGAAATTAAGAGTCGGATGCTCAGCTGACTGAGTCACCCAAGCACCCCGAGCACCCATTCTTTAAAGCATATATAAAATTTACTTGTTCTTCCAAAAGTTGTTATCTGACCTAAAGTCAACATGTCTTAAAATGACACTCATGATATACCCTGCCATCCCCCTGACCGGGCCCTCACTGACTCACTAAATGGCACCTCCATCCATCCAGAAATCCAGGCCTTATGGTGTTATGTCATCAGATTGATTCTATCTCCTTCCTTAATCTCTCTTAAATTCTTTACTTGATTGGGGCGTCTGGGTGGCTCAGTCGATGAAGTGTCAGACTCTTGGTTTCAGTTCAGGTCATAATCTCAGGGTCCTGGGATCGAGCCCCATGTTGGGCTCCCCGCTCAGCGGGGTCTGCTTGTCTCCCTCTGCACTCTCTAATAGAGAAATAAATCTTAAAAAAAATTCTTTGTCTTTTGCTACCACAACTTCAACTGAGGGCACGTCCTGCTTTGGGTGAGCAGTGCTGTTCAAATCCCTCTCATCCAGTCCCCCTGGCAGCCCAAGCCCACCCGCTTTAGGTCACTCCTTCCTTTAGCAGCATTCTCTCCTAGCCGTCCTCACCATTAATACCCTTTCCTACAGAGTGGTAATCAAAATTTAATAACTATGTAACTCAGTTTTTCACGGAACATAAGTGGGGATATCCGTGAAGGCAGAGTCTTTGTCCTAACTATTTACTGTCAGATTTGCAGTAGTATGCAGTAGTATACTGGTTTGCATGCAGGGAGTTTTTTTAACCTAAAGTTTACCATCTTCTATTTTTTTAGCATATAGTTCAGCAGTGCTAACTATATTCACATTATTGTGCAACAGATTCTGAAACTCTTTCATTGTGCAAAATTGAAACTCTATACCCACTGAACAACAGCTCCCCATTTCCCCCCCTGCCCCAGTCCCTGGCAAACACCGTTCTACCTTGTTTCCATGAGCTTGACTATGGATACCTCCTATAAATGGAATCACAGTGCTTGTCTTTTTGTGACTGGCTTATTTCACTTAATATCCTGTAGGTTCATCCATGTTATAGCATGTGACAGGATTTCCTTCTTTAAGGCTCCATAATATTCCATTCACCACATTTTGTTTATCCAATTCATTCATCGGTGGACACTGGGTTGCTTCCACCTCTTGGCTATTGTGAGTAATGCTGCAATGAACATGGGTGTGCAAATCTCTCTTCAAGATCCTGCTTTCAGTTCATTTGGATATATACCCAGTAGTGGGACTGCTGGATCATATAGTTCTATTTATAATTTTCTGAGTGACCTCTATACTGTTTTCTGCAATAGCTACACAATTTAATATTCCCACTACCAATGCACAAGGGTCCCAATTTCTTCATATCCTTGCTAACACTTCTTATTTTATATTTTTGCTAGTGGCCATCCTATTGGGTGTGAGATGGCACAAAGGCAGTATTTAATAAATATTTGTTAATGTCTACATAGACTGAGATTACACAGATAAAAGGGTATGGAGTTCCTACAGTAATGGGAAGAAAGACTGACACAAATAAGATTTGTGCTAAATGTCTAGATAACAGATGGAAGAAATGGTCAACTCTCCTTGAGTGGGGAGGAGGAGAAATGATGGTGGAAAGCGGTCAAGGTAAATCGCCTAGAGTTGGATACTTAAATCTTAAGTAGGCATTCAAATAAAAAAAAAAAAAAAAAAAAGGAGGAAGGCTCTTGTTAGGAGAGAACCTTGGTGTGGAGTGAATCCAGACTGTATGTGGTTGGTTACTGAGAAATGAAACAAATGAAGTAGAGCCTTGTCAACCATACTAAGAGGGTTAGATTGGATCCATTCAATGGAGCTAAACTAGGGAGTGCCAAGATCCCATATGCACTCCTGAGAACTCAGTCTAGCAGCAGTGTGAAGCGTGATCCTAGGGACCAGACCGTTCATCCACATAGGAAGCTAATAAAATAGTCAAAGCAAGAGAGGACAGGGGTCTAAACCAAAGCAAAAATGTGGACCAAGAGAACTAGGAGAGGGATGTTAGCGAGTAGAAAAGACAGACCTTTCTGACTGATAAACAATGGAAGGAAGTGGAAAGAGTGGAAGGGACCAATACCCACTCTTCAGGGGACACATGAAGTTTAAGGGGAAGATGCCAGTTTGCTTGAGAGAGTTGAGCACAGTGTACAGTACGCAGTTAAGAAGAGTATGAGATTCAAGTCAAAGACACGGATTAGACACATATATTGGAAGTCATAAAAATAAAAACTAGTGAATCCTACTACCTAAATACCACTCTTTCTTATGTAAATCTAGGGTTGCAGAAATACCAGATGTCTTTATGTAGCATATCCTGTTTCTACTAACAGAACATGTTTTTCTACATGTTTTACAACATACTAGATGGTTTCCCTCTTTCACAAAGCTTAAATGCTCTTACGACCCTCCCCATATGTAATCTCAGAAAAAGTGGATAATGATAGCCAAATTCCCATCACTTTCTCTTTGACAGTTTTAAGGATCAGCAGAAGGGCACATGGTTAGAAATATTATCAAGACCACCTTTTAATTTCAGGTCTAAAAAGAGCACCTAGTTTACTTAGTCGAATATCTAATATGTTACTACTTCTGAGAAAAGCATTCTAAACAGGATTCTAATAAGAACACTTGCATACTATTCTGCAGGCAGGCATGCAATTTCATTGTCTTTCGTTTAAGTGTGGAATTAAACCAACAATTAAGTATCAAAGCTTTAAGACTAGGCAAATTGAGAAAACTTAATTTACATGTAATTATTACCCTTAATACCCTGTATTTCATTACCAGGACATATAAACAATGACAGCATGTGGGCAAATAAACTTCACCACCTATGTGCATCTACTGACTATTTTGTTCTATTGACTGTGACATAAATGTTAGATACAAGGAAGGAACTTCTTTCCCTGTGACCAGGTGCTGGGGAGGGCATCCTCAGACAGCACCATCTCAGCGAGTCTGTCCACAGCCACAATCGAACAGACCTAAAAGGGCTTCACTCTAGGGTGCAACAGGACCAAACCTTTACCCTTCCGTCCTACACTCAGTATCTTCACCACAGTTACATCCCATTACTCAAAAGTCAAGTAGAAGAGGAACAGTCCTTTCTTAACAAGGAGAAGGGTGCTAGAGACTGAATGGATGTGCGAGGCCCCCCCCATTCATATGTTGAAACCTAATCCCCAAAGTGACAATATTTGGAGGTGAGGCCTTTGGGAGGTGATAAGGTCATGAAGGTGGAGCCCTCATGAATTAGGGTATAGTAAGTCCCCTCATAAAAGAGGATCAGAGAGCTCCTCATCCCTTCCACTTGTTAGGACACAGAAGGCCCTATCTATATGACACTGAACCTGTTGGCATCTTGATCTTGGACTTCCCAGCCTTCTGGTGTTGTTTATAAACCACTCAGTCTACGGTACTTTGTTAGATATGCCCAAACTAGTCGACTAAGACAGAAGGCTGCAGGTTATCTGGTTAATTGCCAGACTGGATTAATAGTTCTCTCTTTAATTTACACATGAAACTGAGAAGCCCTGACATTCCCTGGAATGCGAATGCTTAGCATTAAAGCATTAGAGTACTCCGATGCTCCTGCTTAGTGTATTGGGAAATTCCTGGAGCAGAACAATCTCAACACACTTGGTGTCAGGCAGATTTGCACAGGGTCCTGGCTGGTCAAATCTACCACCTGAGTCAGGCTGGGCCCCACCTCCTTTTTTGCCTCCCAGTAACCCAACAACAGGGCAAAGACCACATTCACCCCACACAGCCACCACAGTCTGTACAGCAAGGCAAACGTGCCCTCCCAAGCCTCCAGATAAATACACATCGGTACTCTTGACATTCCTTCCAATATGCTTCCTTCCCGGCTTTTTAGGCATGCTTAAGTACTAGCATACAAGTGAATTCAAGAGCTAAAAATTCAACATAAAAAATTTTTAAATCAGTTCTTTCAGTCTCTAATAATTAACACAGAATAAAACATTCTATTCTGTCTGCTTTCAGTATTAGTGGAAAAACATACACACAATAGCAAAAAGCTATAGGTGATTCTCTCTGCACAGGTTTTTAATATTTACCAAATTTCTACAATGAATATAAAAATGTCATAAATCATTTTAAAGCAAAATTTTATACTGCTTAAGAAAAAAAATACAGTATTTTTCTAAGAAGATACACATGAATTTGAAATCATTTCACTTACTTTCTGCTCAGGGCTTTCCTGAAATAAAAGTCCAAAGTAGTCCTTTTCCAGGAGATTGAGATGTTCACACACTTTGTCAAATAACACTTGTCCCTTCACACGCTTCTGCGGGAAAAGAAATGGTATCTTTACTTTTCAAGCACTAAAGATTCCATGAGTACTGTAAATAAAGGACTTCACATCGGATAACATTATTTAGCATAATATAAAATATTTATTTCCCAATCTTTTATAATACAAGAGTGATTAACAACTTTTTCACTTTAGAATCCTCCCTCCCCGCAGCACATATACAAAGCATAAATTCTAGAATGAAAGCATGATCAAATGCTCTATGCTTTATTCCCTACTCTACAAAAATATAAAAAGGACTCAAAAAGTAAGGTGCTAGGAGTTCATTTATTTTTAAAATAGTACAGAAATATGTCCAAACTGCCTCCCTCAATTCCTCAAGGTGGCTTATGTCCTTTCTATAAGGTATACTCCCCCAGGAAAATCATTTGGCCCAAGTCTTCACTGTATCCTAACATGATTTATCCCATCGGTACTTAGGTTTGATTTCTGTTCCATGATATTGGTAGAATAGGAAAAAAAATTGTTTTCAATTCAAGCTAAGCTTTTTCTTGAGAATGATGAGACATTCACTCTTCAGAACAAAATTTTAAGATACAAGGTAATGGAACTGGGAGAATAAAATCAGTTGCCTCCAAGGATGTAACATACTTTTGCCTTAAATACTTTATTTTGTTTTGTTTTTGTTTTGCTGGGGCCCCTGGGTGGCTCAGTCGGTTGAGCGTGTGCCTTCAACTCGGGTCATGGTCCTGAGGTCCTGGGATCAAGCCCCAAGTCAGGCTCTTTGATCCTGCTTCTCCCTCTCCCCTCAGCTCAAGCTCTCTCTCGCTCTCTCTCTCTCTCTCTCTCTCTTAGATAAAATCTTAAAAAAAAAATACTTAAAAAAAACCTGCTATCAACAGAGATGTAAAAGCCTTTAGCAGCTACAAAAGAAAAGCTCATTGTCTAATCAATGGCAAAACATAAAGTGGTGACTCATTCCTAATTAAGATGCACACCCTGGGCAGGCCCAACTGTGAGGTCAGGTCAGACACACGCTTTCCCTTCCCCCACATGGATATAAGCAGCCACTGGACCTCACGTGAAAACTGAATGCGCCCTCAGACATTTTCATCCTCCAGATGAATGCCCTTACACTCTCAAAATGGATACTCATTCGTTCATCCACTGTGTGGAAATTAATGTCTCCCACAGATGTATCTTAAACAATGCAGTAAGATATGAAGGACATTTCAATTCAAATAAGTACAACTCTGATAAGGGATTGCAAAAGATAGTCTCAGAGAAACTCAATTCAAAGGCTGGTTTCTATCCTCGGACCTTTTCTTCCTCCTCTTTGTGGAAAAGAGGAAGCAGAAGTGGAAAACTCATGCCTAAAAGACATGCAAAGGAGAATCTGGAACTTTCATTATTAAACCTTTTATAGTAATGTTTCTTTAAAAAAGAAGAAGAAGAAGAAGAGAATTACACCAAATAGTAGAGGGAAGAAGGAAAAAGCAACAGATTATTTCAACATAGCCAGCACTGTACCTTCACTGTATCACTAGAAATTCAGAAAATTAAGTACATTTAAAATATGTCTGCATATTCAAAGTACATAAAATAGAGCAGTAAGGAAGAGTACTGAATTCTGGATTCCAAATGACAAAGTTACACATACATTTCCATTATTTACAAATTATGTGACTAAGGACAAGACACTTTACTTCTATTTGCCTTAATTTGCACATCTGTGAAATGGGGTAATAGAAGCCACCACAGGGTGTAGTGAGTGCTAAATGAGCTGTAATACATACGGGAGCTTGGAACAGTGTGTGTGGCACATAGTGCTTAATCACTATTGGCTCCTATTGTTAGAAACTGGAGAGTTCTGTAACATGAAAAGTGACTAATTTCGACTACACGAGATTTTGGCTTAAGCGTTTACAATGAATGGTTCTAAATTTCATTATTTGATCTGCATGAAATTATTAGCCTATATAATTAAAACTTTGAGTTTAGAGGTACTTTAAATTAACTTTATGAGAAGGGAACTCAAAGCATGACAGCTGACTTTCTTAAATGTACAGTAAAATCTATGGTCTCTTTTTTATAGGAACCTGGAGTAGATGTGAAGAGATATAGTTGCAAATAATAGCAAAGAATTTTTTTTGAGAGACAGTGTGTGCATGTACATGGGTGGGGGAAGGGTGCAGAGGGAGAGGCAAAGAGGGAATCTTAAGCAGGCTCCACGCTCAGCACGGAACCCGACACAGGGCTCAATCTCACGACCCTGAGATCATGACCTGAGTGGAAATCAAGAGTAGGACGCTTAACTGACTAAGCCACCCAGGTGCCCCAAAGAATATTTTAGAGATAATCAATAATTTAAGATAGAATTAGTGAATTTTCGGACATTAATTTCAACAACATTGTTTACTTCTGAATGTTCAGTGAGTAGAAAACTGCCCATCATAATAGGTGGTCAAAAAATACTGAGTCAACTGAGAAAACATTACAGTGTACTATATGTAACATACTTATTTTTAATGAGATGACATGTAACCTATTCAGGCTTCTAGTGACTGACCATAGCTATAATCTCAGCATCCATTTTGTAATTAGGAACTTTCCTTATCTGAGATAGCAAAGACAGCAATCAACTATAGCTCCTGACACATCTATCTACTTGGACGTCATCCCCTATGCATTTACAATGAGATATAAAGGACTCACAGGGGACATTTTATCTACTATAAAGCAGAGATTATCTTCTTATTTAGAAAGACACTAAAAACTCAACAGAAGCTAATATAAGAAGTTGACCTTTAATCAGATAAAGCTCCCAAACTTACCATTTCTAAAAACATCTGGCTCTATGTGACAACTACTTTCGAATGAGCAAACTACTGAAACCAGTTAGCTGTAGATATCATGAAGAAATGTTAACAGAATCAAAAGGAGAGTCATGCTATTTGGTGATAATGCTATTTGAAATTAGGGTAAAAAGGATATTTCAGACAACTAACATCTATGAGCACATACCTCAGTTCAAAGAGAAAACATATTCCAACATAGGCTTAGAGTAAAACCTTATTAATAAATCATACTTTCTCACTGGTTTCCATTTCAAAAATAGAAACATGCTCTCATGGACAGAATTCCCCTAAAGGATTAAGAGAAAAACACGCACAAAGCTCACCACCACAATTTGACTTTGGTATGCTGGGCAGCACAGAGGGAGCCACACAGGGGCTGGAGTCAGACCCAGTCCCTCCTTCATTGAACAGCCTGTAGGCACTTTACTATTACTACACAAGCGTGATGATAGCAAACCATTGAGTCTCCTTAACTGTAAAAGGAAATCACAAGTATCTCACAGCTCACTGTGAGGGTCAAATTAACCCAATGAGACAGTACATTCAAAGTGCCAAACCAAGTGCCTTACTCGGTCAGCTAAATCCTGTTAGCAACTGTTCTTTCACTAGCCCACATCTAACAAACACCAAAGTATCTTCTAGATGCTCAGATTGCTTCTCTGCTATTCTCTCCTCCCCTTCTCCAAAAAACAGATATTCTAAATGCTTGAATAGATCTTAACTGCACACAGATATTACTTAAGCTTCCATTCAGCATCTCCACCCTCAATGAACTCAAAGTCTGGCTGGAAGACAAAAATGCACAAAAACCGTGGGACATGTACTGAAAGACGCATGTACCAAGGGCTACGGCAACACCAAGAACAGATGAGTAACGGGGTCGGAGAAAAACCACAGCTTCACCAAGACTGTGGCATCTGAAATGAATCTGAAAGGAAATTATTTCTGTCACAAGGCAGACAAAGAGCATATTCAAAAGAACTTCTTTTTCACTTCGGATGTTTATAGAATCTGATGGAGCCAATTTCTCTTCAAAAGATATTGGAGAATATAGTAAGATGAAAAAAGTAACCCATCCATAATGGTCAAACCAATATGACTCCCAGGTGTACTGTTCCACTCTCAGATGACTGCCAGAGCTTGCCAGGCTAAAAGGCTCAACACAGACTGATCCAGCATCTAATATGTATCAGTTCCTCCAGGCTAAAAGGCTCAACACAGACTAATTCAGCATCTAATATGTAACAGTTCCTCTATTAAGACGTCATGAAAACAACGATAAATAAGACATAGTGGTCCTGGAAACGTTACAGTCAAATGACAGAAAATAAAAAGGAAGTCCCCCAAGGGAAAACAAAATCCTATGAATCTACCTCTCTAGAAATAACTAGCTACCTGGTCCAATTGGTCCAAAGAATACTAACCAAAGGCCTATGAGATAGCTTCATACAATAGCTCTACTCAAAGACAATATCTTACTCTGGGGATAAAGATTACCACATACAATCACATCTTCCCTCAGCAAGTTTAAATATAAGGTGTGCGTGCGCACACACACACACTCATACAGCAGAGTGGTATAAACACAGAGGTGAAGACAGTGAGAAGGCAATAAGCAGAAGCCAAGGGTATCAGGAGGCAGACTTCTAGTAGGCAAGCATGTTCCATTGGTCCCGCTAGTCCCATGAGATGTTCCATATATATACCTACATCCCCCGAAAGGGGAGTAAGAGTGGGATAAAGGAAAATTCTGCTTAACTACTATGCATCAAACTTCCTGTTTGCATGTAAGATATCCTGAGTTCTATGATGAAAAAAACTTGTTTCCCATCATTCAACCTGATGTTTCCCAAAATTATTTGGCTAAATAAAGCACTATCTTGTTTTAATACAACACTTACTAACTTACTCCACATCAGAATTACTGTTCTACAGACCACATCTCTAGAAATGAGGGAGAAAAATATTACCATGATCTGGCCCACAAGCAGATTTGGAGACTGGCATTAACATTTTTTATTAATATGATTTATTACACACACACACACAGTTTACTCATTATCTTTTTGATTCAAAAATACCAAAAAAGAGAATTTGGTTTAAACTGATTCAGAACTGGATATGTCCAGCTGTCTGGCTGAAGCAAATGATTCCCAGATATAAAATCCCAAGAAA